GACACACTTTCAGCAGCATAAAAAGATTGTTCCAAAAGCAGAAGAATAAACTATGGGTAAGAATGGTCCCAGTGTTGTGAAATAAATGTTTACAAAGGGTCATGTGGCATCTCATGAAATCAGGAGAGACTGGAGGAAAGAATTAGATTTGCCAATAGGCTTGAACATCTGGTTTAGCACCATATTCTATGAAAAGCTGGGGACAGAATCTGAGGCTTGGGACAGAGAGACCTTGAGAGATGGCAGCACCAAGTGGCATCTCAGAGCAGATGCATAGTAGCATTGTGTGGAAGTGGGAGGACTCACTGGATATGAGAAGAGGTCATGACCAGAGTGTCACTTGAGTTGACCTCTGGGCGGAAATCTCCTAAGGTCTTGGTAGACTTTGGGTAGGACAGTTGTCCAGTGGGGCAGAGCAAGGATCAAGAGTGAAAAGGGAGATAGCTTTCTGGGGTCTGAGGAGAAAGGGCCCCCCCTTCTTCGTCCTTCCCCCAGGAAGATGGTGCTGGAACAGTGTCAAGTGTTAGTGTGAAGTTCAAGAACCCTTCCTCCTTATCTATAAAGGGAGCCAGAAGAATAGTTTCATGAGGAAAGCAAGGTTACCCTACATCTAGGAAAGGCAGAAAGTTCTCAGCAAGTGCTTCTCAGAAGCCCTTCTGGATCTGTCTCAGAGAGTAGGAGCCAGGACGGCATGCAGGGCAGAAAACAAAACAAACAAACAAGCAAACAAACATGGCTGTAGGGATTTAGAGCAAGATGCAACTGTGTATATTGAAATTTCTTCTTTTGCAAGTCTGACTGAGTCTTTGCAGGTCAACATGACTTCTGCAATGTGTTCTTTGCCTTTCCTGAGTTGTAAATGCAGTTGGCTAGGAAGCACTAGGAATGTTTCAAACAACAATTTATTATGCTAAAGCATAGTGGAAAGGGTGTCCTAGCTAACACAATTGATAAATGTAACAAGAATAGTAACAGATTTGTCAGAACATTCTACAGTCAAGCATTTTTAGCTTTTCAGCACCTTGAGTGCAGCATATGTGGCAGTGTAGTTAAAGTTTATAGACCTTTCCTCAAAATGTTTAAAATGCATTAAATAAAAAATACAGCATTATAAAGGAAATCAATTATAATGATATAGTTATAAAATGTCTTAATGTGATTGAGCAGTGTGTGCTTTTTAAATACAGTCTAGCGATCATTCTAATAGCCACTGTAATTTTACCATAGTGATGAACAAAAGTATATTTCAAGATATTGCCACTAAATCAGTATGATATGAAAATGACTGTGATTTCTTTTGGCAGAGTCACATTTATTACTATTACTACCAAAATGTGTTGCCCACACTCATAATTCTTAAATGCTGTATTTTTGTTAGATGTTAATGAAATAAAGATGTTATTCTCCAATCCTACTGAAGTTCATGAACTTGATCATTCTAGCCATCATACATCAGAACTCTGATCAGCTGAGTAGAAACAGATTAGACTGGAGCTAAGGAAAGGATTTGGCAAGGCATAAATAACCATTATTCTATTCAAGGAACAATTGCTGCTCTTTACCAAAAAACAAACAAACAAAAAAAAACTGTGATGATGTGGTACAATGGGTTATAACTGTGGAAAATCATTTTGATGGAGTGGATACCACAATTGCAATGATTGTGGTCAATGCCAAAGCATAGGGGCCTTAGAAAAATCAACAGTGAAATCCTGGTTGAGCAATTAAAGGCAAGAAAAGTTTATTATCAACTACCAAGACGCTTACACAATCTCTCTTGATTTGTCTCTGTTATCTCCTCTGAATCTGAAGTAATTGTTACGGGTCGAACTGGCATGTGCTTGGTCAGCGGCAGTATTGAGACTAAGAGGCTCACAATTGTGTCAGCAGGAAAAATAGGTATTATCGTAAGACCCACTGGCTTCTTAAGTTTCTCAGCAGTGGGCTTTCTTTTAAAGATCAACTTAGGTACAAAGGTGATATATTGACTAAGAGACAGAAAGAATTCTGTAGTGGGCTTAGTGAAGTAAATAACCTCTCCTAGAAATGAGAAATGTAGGCCAGTGTATTGCAGGTTTTGAAATGGATAGGCAAGTTTCACCGGCAGTTTATGGAGGTAGTTGGCTCATTCTTTCATTCTTTGGACTATATATCGAGGGCACAATCTGAGACTCCATCACCAGCACTGAGCAAAATTGCCCCTGTATTTATTCCTCTTCCACTTCCATATTTCCACTTCTCCCCATCCTTTCTTGATTCCTTGAGCCAGCTGCTAACAGTTGCCTCCCTTCAGCTATTAGCAGCATTCCATGCCATCTGGAATCCATTTGCACTTCTGATTTCCTGTGTTTTTACTTCTTCTTGTCTATCTCATCAAGAGGAAAACACTGTGCCCCCCTCTTCTTCCTAGTCTAAAGCTCTTGTCTTGATCATGATTTTAATGACAAAGGGGGTTATTTGGGCAACTTCCCCCTTAACTCTATCTCTATCTTCTGATTCTGAAAACAAAACAGAACAAAAAAAATGAACTAGAAAAAAGTGGCAACATATTATTTTTCTTCCCCAGCCAATGGTTCTGTTGCTCAGGAGAATCCAAAGTAGAATATGCTTATACTTCAGCATACAATTGCAAAGATTTAGTGACATGTAATAAAAACAGATGGTAGTTTCAAACAGTGGTTTTGTGTCTCTTTTTCCTGAGACAGTCAATGTATGAACAAAACACTGAGAGAACATGTGCCACTACATTTGTTAAGGGGTTGGACCACTCCAACAGAGAAGCCCAAAGATGGCAAGTGGCTTAGTTAGGGTTTTTATTGCTGTGAAGAGATACCATGACCATGGCAACTCTTAAAAAACATTTAATTGAGGTGGCTCGCTTACAGTTTCAGAGATTCAGTCCATTATCGCCATGGCAGGGGGCATGGTGACATGCAGGCAGACACGGTGCTGGAGGAATAGCTGAGGATCCTATATTTTGCTAGAAACAGGAAGTTGACTGAGACCTTGGGCAGTATCTGAGCATAGGAATCCTCAAAGCCTGTCCCCACAGTGACATACTTCCTCCAACAAGGCCATACCACCCTAGCAAAGTCATACCTCCTAATAATGCCACTCCTTATGAGATTATGGGGGTCAGTTACATTCAAACTACCACAGCAAGCATGGCAGCTTAACGGTTTGCATTCTTATTACCATCTCTAATAGCACTGCCACCACACTACTGTGTTCTAAGTAGTTGTGGTAGAAATAGTCACGAATATCTATTGGACTCTTACTAAATGGTGATAGTGTGACAAACCTTTTACATAGATTGTTTTATTAATACCTCACAAGACTCCAAGAAATTATCTGCATTTTACAGGTATAGAAACTAAGATTGTCAGAGATTTTAACTATGACATTAAAAAAAATCGCTTGGACTTCTGTCTTAGTCACTGTTCCATTGTTGTGAAGACAAAGACAAGTTTTATAAAAAGAAAACATTTAATGCGGGGAAGGGTTGCTTATAGTTTCAGAGGCTTAGTCCATTGTTACCATGGCAGGGAACATGGTGGCAGGCAGGCAGGCAGGCAGGCAGGCAGGCAGGCAGGCAGGCAGGCAGGCAGGCAGGCAGGCAGGCGTGATGCTGGAAAAGTACCTGAGAGCTACATCCTGATTCACAAGCAGAGAGAGCGAGCCTGGGCCTCACATGGGTTTTTGAAACCTTGGTGTTCACTCCCAGTGGCACATTTCCTCTCATAAGACCACATTTACTCCAACAAGACCATACCTCCTCATCCTTCCAATCAGCTCCAATCTCTGGTGTAAGCACTCAAATCTATGAGTCTATGGAAGACATTCTGATTCAAACCACCACACCCTCCAAAAGCAATGAATATACCAAAACTGCAGTATCTGTTACGTGTCTGGTGGTAGGATTTAACCTAGTTCCTTTGAACCCCAAAGCCTGTTTCCTTATTCATTTGTACTGCATCGTCTCCTCATCTTGACTGTGCTTAGTCACAGACAACAGGAGTATTGTACACCTATCTAAGAAGTTAGTGAAATGAGAAATGTGCTTAGAGAATGAGTTCAGGCTGGAAATTTGTTTCCTTGATGATTAAAAGTTTATCTAGGTCTGGAGAGATGTCTCAGTGTTAAAAACCGAAACTGGAAGCCAGGTGTAGTGGCACACACCTAATCACAGGAGGCAGAGGCAGGGGGATCTCTGTGAGTTTTGACACAAGTCTGATCTGCATAGAGTGTTCCAGGACAGCTGGAGCTATCTATACATAGGAACCTTGAGGAGATGGAGAGAAAGAGGGAGGGAGGGAGGGAGGGAGAGAGAGAGAGAGAGAGAGAGAGAGAGAGAGAGAGAGAGAGAGAGAGAGAGAGAGAGAGAGCTATTTTGCATTTTCAGCAGACCCAAATTCAATTCCTAGCACCCACATCAGCTGGCTTACAACTGCCTGTAACTCCAGCTCCAGGGGATTAGACACCTCCCGCCTTTGTAGGAACTGGCCCTCATGTACGCATACCTACACACAGATCACATGCATACACAGGATTTTAAAAAGAATTTATTTAAAGTATCTTATTGCTGAATAAAGGAGATACCATACAATATTCACATAATTTGTGTTTAAAAGAGTGAATTTTAAAATATGCTAAATTAGGCTCTCTTATTTTGAACTGTGGATATGGGATATAAGATTGATGGGACTGGAATGGTGGCTCAATAGTTCAGTGCTTACTGTCCTTGCAAAGATCCAGGTTTGGTTCCCAGAACCTATATCATATGGCTCACAACCATCTAAATCTCCAGATCCAGGGGACCCAATGCCCTCTTCCACTGGCACTGGCACAGATGTGGTATAAATAAGCTCCTACAGACATAAACACACATACATATAAGTAAATCTTAAGAATGCATGATAAAGTTATTCCCAAAGTAACTGATGTTCACATTGCTTTCTTCTATGTGTGTATCCGTTCTTCAATCTGCGCTGTTCCTAAAGCTTCGAAGAAACATCCCAATGTGCTTGTCTTCTTGGAAGGATCCTCCTCGTGTCCTAAAATCCTCGAAGCCGGCTCCAGTCAGTATGACAAATAATTCAGTGGCCTTTGCACCTCTCCAGACATTAACTGATGAGGAAATGATGATGAAGGAAGCAGGTCAGTACGTTTCTCAACTCCACCCTGTAACCCCTCTGGTTATGAGTTGAGCCAACAATGTGAAACCATACGAGGCAACCTAGGAGGTATGTTGATCTAGGTTGTTGTCGCTTTGTTTGGGGGGCCTGAAGGGAGTTCGTTTATTTTTGAGACAGGATCTTCCTGTATTGCCCACATGGGTCTCAAACCCCTGGACTCAAATAACCCTCTTGTCTCAGCCTCCAAAGTAGCTGGGATTTAGAGTTATGAGAATCGAATTTTCATATAATATTTTGAAAAAAAAGGTAATACCAATATAAAAACAACAGCAGAGTAAAAGGCTAGGTTACAAGTTAAGGCTTCTCTCTCTGTTCCCTAATTCTCCAGTTCTTCCCAGAAGCTGTTTCATTGCCAGTCTCTTATAAAGCCCTGGAGGGAGGGCATGATGCTAATCACCCTACAATGTACAGGGCAAGCAAACCCACAACAAGGGCTTGCCTGTCCTGCCCCAGAACATTCTTACTTCTGAGGGAGAGAAACCTTCCTGTGTGTGGCCATGCAACTGTTCAAAGATCTGTGTTAGATGGGATGTGCTGGTGGAGAAAGATAACCAAGGTGCAAGTAGAGGGTCAATAGGTATCTGGGCACGATGGTGCATGCCTTTAATCCCAGTGTTCCAAAGGCAGAAACAAGAAGATCTTTGTAAGTTCAAGACCAGCCTGGTCTCATAGTGAGTTCCAGGCCTACCAGAGCAACACCATGAAATTCTGTCTCAAAAAAGAATAAGAGGAGGAGAAGGAAAGTAGGAAGAAGGTTGAATGTATGTCTTATGGTTGCTTTGGGGAACAGAAGTAAACTGATAGGTAGAGCGTCTAGGTAGAGACTTGCAGAAGACTAAAGGGAAGCTTTCAGAAGGAGTATATAAGTTTAAAATTATTTACCTTTGGGGAGATGAATTAAAAATCCAAGATAGGAGAATACAGCTTTCACTTTTCATTTTATGCCTTCCATATTATTTATATTTTTTTGCTCTGAATGGGATTGAGGGATTGCTTTTTTTCTGTAAAGAAGGAAGTTGTAATTTCTATTTTGAAAGTCTAAATATAGTCATGTGTATTTTAATTTATTGGTTAAAAAGTAGTCATTTATCAACAAACTGTTAATGAACTATTTCTTTCTTAAAGATATCCATTTTATCTACTTAAATATAGACTTATCAGAAATTCTTTTTCCTCCCACAGTTAAAAAATTTGCACAGGAACAAATTGCTCCTTTGGTTTCAACTATGGATGAAAATTCAAAAATGGAGAAATCAGTGATACAAGGATTATTTCAACAAGGGGTATATGTTTCATAATTGTTGTTTCAAACTTTTATTATTTAAAAATTTCAGACACTATATTTTTGGTTTTTCGAGACAGGGTTTCTCTGTGGCTTTGGAGGCTGTCCTGGAACTTGCTTGGTAGTCCAGGCTGGTCTCGAACTCACAGAGATCCGTCTGCCTCTGCCTCCCGAGTGCTGGGATTAAAGGCGTGCGCCACCACCGCCCGGCGCAGACACTATATTTTTATCATATTCTTTTTCCCTCCCTCTGTTTCAACAAGGTCTTTCCCCACTTCCCTACCCACCAAACTTCATGTTCTTTCCCTCTCAAAAAAAGAAAAAGACAAAAGATAACTATTAAGACAAAACGCACACAAATAACATGGAGTCCATTTTGTGTTGACCAACTACTTTTAAATGCATTTTGTATATTAAAATATATGCAGACTTTTCAGATGAGAGATTATAATGAACAAAGTGAGCCTCACCCCTAGTCAAAAGTATGTTTCTTTTCACTTAAGATCTTAGTTGATTTTATACAGTTAAAGATTTTTAACTGAACTGATATTTTAAATTATAAATGTTTTTTAAAAGGTCCACTAGCATCTGGTGGAGTCGAGGCATGGACCACTCCTAATTCAACATCCTGTAGTGCACAGGGCAACTGCAACAAAAAACTGGCTAGCTCCATCAAATAATATACATTAGAGACACTGTGTGGTTTTTTGTGTGTATGGCAGTCTTAAGGCAGAGCTGACAGCTGAGTCCCACACTAACTAGGTTTCCAGCTTTGTAATTCACATAGCCCTTCAGTGAGAGTATGACATACAAAATAGATTAAAGTAGAATTAATCTGGCTATGAATAGGGTATTAGTAGTGTGGGACTTCATGGAAGAATGTCTTAAATGTCACCATACTGAGCCGGGCAGTGGTGGCACAAGCTTTGAATCCCAGCACTCAGAAGACAGAGGCAGGTGGATCTCTATGAGTTCAAGGTCAACCTGGTCTACATAGCGAGTTCCAGTATAGCCAGGGCTACACAGACAGACCCTGTCTTGAAAAAAACACAACAAATCAATCACCTTACTCATTCCTGGTGTCTCCCTTCTATAGGTGCAAAATTTTTCTTTTTTAATACTGAAGATGTGCCAGAGCTAGTCACTGCTATTCAACTTCATGTTCCTTGTCTTGTCTGTCACCTTATTGAAAAACAACTTTTGGCACTTAACCATATAATTTCATTTCTTCTTGTTTTAATGGGATTGGCTTTTGATGATTTTTCTAACTTGTTTGTTTGTTTGTTGGAGACAGGGTTTCTCTGTGTAGCCCTGGCTGTCCTGAAATTTGCTCTGTAGACCAGGTTGGCTTTGAGCTCACAGAGACATGCTTCTGCCTCCCAAGTGCTGGGATTGAAGGCGTGTACCACCACCACCTGACCTAACTTTCTGTTGCCAATGAAACACTTAGGAAAATGGAATCCTATGTGGAGACATACTGAACCACACGGAAGTCTGGTGTGTAAGAAAGACAAAGACCCCATGGTTTGTCTTGCAGCTCAGTTCTGCTGTCATCATTGACAGACTCCATCCCCACCCCCAGGCTCCTGTGGGGAGTCCTTTGGTGGTCTCACAGCCTGAAAACCGCTCTCCTGAAGTAGTAATTTTTTAATTCGGGGCCATGTGCACTCACTGTCCACCTCCATAAACTACTCTTTCAGTAGCTCGCCTGCCTCCTAACTCCTCAGTCCAGTGCTGGTCACGTGCACTTTCAGTTCTCTCACAGAGCAGTTTTCATCTTTTGTGGCTCCGCCTTCATGTCAGCTACATCACCAACCTGAAGCATATAGCCAAAGCCTAACTCACCGAAGCTGTTCCAGGAGAGCCAGATGTAGGTCTGGAGCCTCTTGCATATATCATGTTCCTTTCCAAAAATAAGGACAGTTAAACACAGAGCAGTGCTAGGGACATCTCATGTCCCAGACTTAGGCATTGAGATCAAAGGCCCATCTTTGGGAAGCTTTGATCAACATTTAGTCTTGTGTATCAGCACCTGTGACTTGTTGGGTGTGTCACTCAAACACTACCAAATGTCTGCTAAACATCTTAGACTTGCTAAAGTGACCCAAAATGGATGGTCATGTAGAAGTTGTCTCTGCTGAACAAATCAAGTAGAAAAGCCTTCTTAAAAGACACTATGCTGACTAGAACTGTAGATGTGTCCACTGAGAGCTGGTTACTCTCATTCATTCACTTATTACATCAAATCGGTATACAGGGGCCTGAATTGAAATACTGAAGCAACTCATGCAGTTCTTAATAAGAAAGGTCATCAGATCATGCTTACACTTATTCCATTCATTTATGCTTCAAGGCATTTTGTGTCTTTCTTGGTTATCTCAGGCCCAAAGTTGCGCCCCCCCACATCTAACATAAATTTCATCCTTCTCAAAAAAAACCAAACCAACAAAAAAAAACCCTAGTGTTTGTTAATAGACTATTGTTTATAGCAAAATAACTATATCAAATTTAAAAAATATATTTTAAAGTTCAGAATATATATATGATGGGCTGTGGCTGTAGCTTGGGTAGTGGTAAAGTGCTTGCCTAGCATAAGGGGTCCCAGGTCATTTTTGTGTTTACACTTTATTTTTGAATTTTTACTGCAAGAAGTTTCCCAGTATAAACAGCTTTCCTCACCTGTCTCATGTTTCCTCCTCTGTCATTCTTTTAGCTGATGAGCATTGGAATTGATGAAAAATATGGAGGAACTGGAGCTTCCTTCTTCTGCTCTGTCATAGTGATAGAGGAGCTAGCCAAAGTGGATGCATCTGTGGCTCTCGTGTGTGACATCCAGAACACAATAATTAACAACCTGTTTGAAAAACTCGGTACAGAAGAACAGAAGGCTACCTATTTGCCTAAGCTGGCTACAGAAAAAGTGAGTTGGAATGACTTGTTGAAATGGATTGGATCTAAGTTTACAGTATTTTGGGGAGAAAAGTTACTGCGGTATTGACTTTAATTATCCAAGACCACAATGCAGCACCATCAATCAACCAAGCAACACTCAATAAATTGCTGTTACCAGAGAAATACATTCTACCTCTCATTTGTCATGTGGAAATCCAGGAAATAATCATCAGACAATTCCTTTTAGTTAGGCATGGCAGCACATGCTTGTAATCCTAGGACTCAGAGACTGAATCAAGAAGACTGCACGTTTGAGGCCAGATTAGGCTACATAGCAATTTCTAGGCCAGCCTGGGATGTATAGTGAGAGCCTGTCTCTAAAAAGTATCAACACATCTATCTAAGGTCATTTTCCCAGTCCCTTTGTTGAGATCACTTTTGTCTTAGCTAGGGTCTCTATTGCTGTGATGAAACACCATGCCCAAAAAGCAAGTTGGGGAGGAAAGGGTTTATTTGGCTTACACTTTAGCATTGCTGTTCATCACTGAGGGAAGTCATGACAGGGAACTCAGACAAAGTAGGATCCCAGAGGCAGGGCCTGATGCAGAGTCCATGGAGGGATGCTGCTCACTGGCTTGCTTTCCATGACTTGCTCAGCCTGCTTTCTTATAGAATCCAGAACCACCAGCCCAGGGATGGCACCACCCACCATGGGCAGGGCCCTCTCCCATTAATCACTAATTGAGAAAATGCCTTACAGCTGGATTTCATGAAGGCATTTCCTCAACTGAGACTCCTTCCTCTCTGATGACTCTAGCTTGTGTTAAACTGGCACATAAAACCAGCCAGTGCAACATTCTACTAGAATTAAATAAGGCTAAGCATATGTTATTTTGTTTTTCTCTGGACTCAAACTTACGGTCATCTTCCTGCATTATCTACCTGAGTTCTAAGGTGGCTAGTGACTCTAAGTGTGCCATGGAAAGGGTTAATGAAGGAAGACTAGGAAATGCTACACAGCAAGCATGTATTCCTAAGTCCTTATTTTACCTTATAAATAGTAAGGGTGCTCTCAAAAAAATAAAGCAATTCTATTTTGATAAATATAGACTTTTTTTTTCAAGACAGGGTTTCTCTGTAGCTTTGGAGCCTGTCCTGAAACTCACTCCATAGACCAGGCTGGCCTTGAACTCACAGATCTTCCTGTCTCTACCTCCTGAGTACTGGGGTCAAAGTTATGTGCCACCACTGTCCAGAAACTTTCATTTTAATGTAGGGTTTTACTATGTTCCTTTGGCTGGTCTGGAACTTACTATATAGACCTGACTGGCCTTAAACTCACAGAGACCTGCTTGCCTTAGCATCCTGATTTCTGGGATTAAAGGCCTACTCCATCATGCCCAACACAAATACAGATTTTTTTTTGAAAAGTTAACTAAAGGTTGACTTCTAAATGTCCATTTTTAATGCTGGGCATTGATAATACACACCTTTAATTCCATTACTCAGGAGGCAGAGTTAGGTAGATCTCTTCATTCGAGACCAGCCTGGTCTACAGAGTAAGTTCCTAAAACAGCTGGGGCTACACAGAGACATCCCACCTCAACAAAACAAAACAAAACAAAACAAAACAAAACAAAAAAGTCACAAATGTCCACTTTGTCCTATGACTTGTTATGCAAAGAATAATTAAAATTATTTTGTTTTTCCCCCTCGAATATATAGTTAGGGAGCTTCTGCCTTTCTGAAGCTGGAGCTGGTAGCGACTGTTTTGCTTTGAAAACAAGAGCTGATAAAACTGGAAGTGACTACATCATCAATGGGTCCAAGACGTGGATTAGTAATGCTGAACATGCAGATATCTTCCTGGTTTTCGCAAATGCAGACCCCGCCTCTGTAAGTTTAAAGAGAAATTCCTTTCCTCCCTCTTCTCACCTTTTCATTTTTTCTTTTCCCTCTTCCAGTCCCTTTTTAAGATAAGACCTAAGTTCCTAGTTCTGTGAGAGTTGAATTGACCATTTTTTTTTCACTCATCGATTTTAAATGGTTGTTGTTAGCAAAATTGTTAATTACATACAAGGCCACTTATTACTTTTCTCCTAATATCTTAATCTTTAATTGGGTAGAACTTCAATTTTTCTGTGCAATAATGAAGGATTTAAGTACTTGTAAAATACATTTACTTTGAAGACTATTGGAGAATATTACTTTAAGAGTATTTTATTCGGATGCTAAGTATGTTTTATTTTTGTCTTCTGATCTGTTTAATCATATTGAATTTAATATATGGTAGACTCATGATCACATGTTCATTATAAAAATAATTTTAACACCCATTGTGGTTTCTGGAAAAATACAAGAAGTAGTAAGGTTCCTTCCTCTCTGGATAACCCTGGCTTTCCTAGAACTTGTAATATAGACCAGACTAGCCTTGAACTCACACAGATCTGTCTGCCTCTCAGCTTTCCAAGTGCTGTGGTACACTCAAACTGTGCACTACCATGCATGGCATAAGGTTCTTGATTTAGAAACTAATGGTCTCCAATTATTCTGGTTTTGTAGTGCACATATTACAATTCAGAGTCTCCACTATTTATTACTAAAGTCCATGTTAGTTTTCCTTTCTTTTTGAACACATGTCTGTATGTGTAGATGTGGGTGCATCTGTAAGGGAACCAGAGTCAACCTCAAACACTGTTCCTCAGGACATCGCTACCTCTGTTTTTATTATTATTATTTTTATTTGGAAACACTTTTTATTATACATTTAAATTAGAAACAAGCTTGCTTCCCATGTCAGTCCCAGCTCCCTCCCCTCCATGCCCGCTCTCCCCAACCAGCACCCCCAGCCCCCCACCCGGCCACCTTTGTTTTAAAGACTGATTTTTTAAAATTAATTTTAGCTATGTGTGTATATATTTGTCTGTGTACGGGTGTGTACCCATGGAGTCCAGAAGATGTGAGATCCACTGCAGCTGGAGTTACAGGTGCTTGTGAGCCACCCCCTGTAATGCATGGAGCCAAACTTGAGTCCTCTGCAGGAGCAATATGTGCTCTTAACTTCTGGGTCCTCTCTCCAGACCCCCAACTCTTTTTGAGGCAAGGTCACTTACTGGGACCTGGGCCTCACCGATAAAGCTTGGCTGCCTGACCAGCAAGTCCCAGGGGTTCACCTGTCTCTGCCTCACAAGCACATGCTCAGCTCTATACATGGGTACTTAGGACCCAACATACATCCGCATGTTTGCCCAGCAGCACTTTACCAGCTGAGCCATCTCTCCAGTCCTGTAGCTTTTATTTTACTTTGAACTCCTTGTGTTTATTAATTTTTATTTTTTATGTGTGTGATTGTTTTGCCTGTGTGTATGTTTGTGAGCCACAGGCATGTCTGTGCCCATGAAAGCCAGAAGAGGGAGCTGGGTCCCATGAAACTAGAGTTGCAGACAGTTGTGAGCCACAGTGTGGGTGCTGGGAAGCAAACTCTGGTCGTGTGGAGAGGCAACAAGTACTCTTAACTGCTGAGCCGTCTCTGCAACCCCTTGGTTTTCTTACTCTGAGTTCTATGAACAGGAATTGTAAAAGCCCAGGTGATAATCACATTTGAAATCTTTGCAGGGTTACCGAGGCATCACCTGCTTCTTAGTAGACCGAGATACAGAAGGTTTTCATATAGCGAAAAAGGAAAACAAGATGGGGATCAGAGCTTCTTCCACCTGCCAATTAACATTTGAGAATGTCAAGGTAGGTATTCTAGAATATTCTAGAATATTCAATAAAGACTGATGAGGTATAAGCCTTACATAGGGTCATAGGAAATATACAAGAGAAACGTCAAAACAGCAGGTGATGTAAGTGCACACAGAAGAATCTTTGGCAGAACTGGTCAGCAATTAAGCCCTGACCAAAGGCATTTTTCACAAGAGTTGAGGCCCAGAGTGGAAACTTTTCTGTCTAGCCTCTGACCTAGAGAGCAAATACCAGAAGTTAACTTAAATTATTATTGTCTTTGCAACTTGCCACTTCTGAAACATTTATACTTTATAAGCTTGGCATTTGTGAACCAAACTCTGCTGGGAGAAGGAATTCTGAGGTTGGTACACCAGTGGCCACAAGATGGGGATGTTGCTCAGTGAGAGTGGAAAGCAGCCAGGCAGCACTCCACTAAACAGTCTCCAGGATGCTGAAACTGAGCTAGAGCCTGCTTGTGGGTCGTCACAGATGGTCCACTGCTTGGGATTTTTGTGGGTCCGTGTGTATGGAGGTACTGAGACATCTTTACAGGTGTCTTTAGGCCTCACTCCTTCCTTCTTTCTATGTTTCCTTTATCATCCTCCATTCCTCCCTGCTCTCTCTCCTAACTAAAGTATTTTCTACTGTTCCTAGTATTAACTATTAAGGATATTTGCTTTATGTATATAAATGTTATTTTGCGTGTTCACACTCATGAGAGAGAGAGAGAGAGAGAGAGAGAGAGAGAGAGAGAGAGAGAGAGAATGAGTGCTTGGCCCTGGGAGACCAGAAAAGAGTAGAGGGACTAGAATTAAAGACAAATTCTCTGAACCTCTGACCCATATCTCTCCTTCAAATATTATTTTTTATATATTATAAGAAATGTTATAGTTTGTTGTATTCCTTTCTCCTCTTCTATTAAGCAGGAGAGTATGCACACTCACACATGTGCACTCACAGAAACACACACACACGCACATGCATGCATGCATGTATGTATGTATGTATGTATGTATACATAACCCTAATCACAACCCTTAATATATATTATATATTATGTTATATTATATCATACCTCTTGGTGTGTGTGTGTGTATTATTCTGGTTACTCTCTTCCCATGCTCTTTCTTATCTCCTTCCTACACACACACCTAAGTAGGCTTTTCTAAAAGTGAATTGTCTCAACCAAAGAACAGTTTATTACTCTTGCCTTTGAAAATACTTCATGATTTGTTTGTTATTTGTTTTTTTAAGTTTCTAATAAATTATCTCAACACTATTTAACATACAAGAACTGCAGGTAAATTGTTACTCTTTTATGTTATTGACAAATTATATGAGATTTCCCTTTTCTAAATTAATTCACTCATTCACTGAATAGATTGTGCCTAGGCTCAGGAGAATGTAAGAAAGAGAAACACACACTTGGGGACATAGCGAGGAGACACAGATGTCAGCAGACAAACTAGAGTTTGGTTTTTTTTTCTTAACTGTGTTAGATAAAATATTCTATTTTCTATGTATAAATGTTTTGCCTGTATGTATGTGTACCTACCACATGGTTGCCTGGTGCCTTCAAAAGTCATGGGAGTATGTCAGATCCCCTGAAACTGGAGATATGGATGGCTGTGAGCCATCATGTTGAGTGCTAGGAGTTGAATTCAGGTCCTTTGGAAAAATAAGCACTCCAAACCACTGAGCCATCTGTGCAGCTTCTATTATTGAAGTTAACTCGATACTGTGATGGGGTAATATCACAAAAGTTGGGGATATGCATACATTCATGAATGTTTGTGTATTTACATGTTACGTATATTTAGAATCAAAATAATACTATGTAAATCTAAATATAGAAGTAAATATACATTTGTATTTTCAGGTTCCAGAAACCAGTGTTTTGGGAAAAGTTGGACATGGTTATAAGTATGCCATAGGAAGTCTTAATGAAGGTAGAATAGGAATTGCTGCACAGGTAAGTCACATCTTAGCTCTTTCACATTTTGACCCAATTAAAATAATAAAAAAAAGACTTGCAATAAAAGCAATATCTAGAAGCTTGTGAACACAAGGTGGCACCCTGCCTTTGCATGAGGAAAAGGAATGAGTTCAGATTATCTCTCTCAAATTCTACTTTGGTCAATTATCTAAGTGTCCAGAAGATCAGACAATGGCTTGGTGATAGCTGCTTTATGCTTTAAGAACATTACAATATTATCTATTATCTAGACCACTGACTTCCAAGTATATTACATATTAAATATGGCATTTTTTTCAGTTAACTTTTCAAACCCTAAAGTTCATTCTTTTAGAAATTTTTAAAACTAAGAACAATCGTTCAATTGTATAAGGATATTATGTGAGGATCCATATATATGTTTATATATATGTATATATATTATATTATGTAAGGTTCCATACACATATACATATGCATGTATATATAACACTAATCACAACCCTTAATATATATTATATCATATCATACCTCTTAATATATGTATACATTATTCTGGTTACTCTCTCCCCACACTCTCTCTTATCTCCTTTAAAACCCTGGCAACACCACAACCCCTTCATCCTACCAGATTCAGGGTTCATGACTACTGGCTTTGTTTAGTGATCCATTTCCAGGGTCCTCTATGTGAGCCTTGGGTTGGGGCTATGCATTGGAGCCCAGTGAAGTCACAAGTGTGTACACAACTGAAGGCAATGACTAACCCCCACCAAAACTCTGTCAGTAGCAGGTAGTTCAACAGTGAGAGTTGGAGCCCCCTAAGCCCCTCCTGGACTCATCAATAGTCAGATTTGTATTTGGTTTTAATCAGTCACTAAGATTACCAATTTACAACTTTTAGCTTTTGCTATAAATTACATCTGCTAGCCATTTAAATAGTTGAATGTTGAATTATTATTACTCTGCATTTTTATGCTGTTCTTAACTTCATTAACAAACTAGTTCGTTTAGGGGGGAATTTTGCTGAGGATTGAATCCAGGACCCCAAACATGCTAACCATCTGCTCTACCTCACCCTAACAAACTATTCTTAGACCAAGATTCAACTTCAGTTTCTAACAAAGCTGGAAAGAGCACTGGCATACCCGTGATTTTAAAGGTTTCTTGTTATGTAACTTCATCAGGAACAGCATAAAAGCTCCAGTATGACAGCCGGGTGGTGGTGACACACGCCTTTAATCCCAACACTCGAGAGGCAGAGGCAGGGAGACCAGCCTGGTCTAAAAGAACTAGTTTCAGGACAGCCTCCAAAGTCAGAGAAACACTTTTTCGAAATCCCCCCCCCAAAAAAGGTCCAGTATGAGACATAATGGTTCCTAGACATATATATATATATATATTATAGATGTGCTTGTCATGAAGTCCATGGCATGGACTTTACTCCAGTTACTTACTCTGCATTATCCTATAACCCAGTGAAATGTTAAGAGCAGGTATGTAATGTGTCAGTGGGTACTTCTGAAGGAAAAGGTATGTGTAACAGTGAACCGGGCTCACTATTCCTCAAAACCCTGTAGTAGCAGAGAATTCATGTCTTTACTATTTAAAAAGGAAACATTTTGCCCAGATAGAAGTGCTTGTTTTCATTCACAGTTGATAATTTTGGTGTTTAAGTCAATGGTATTGGCCAATATCTGTGATCCTAGTTCTCACAAGGCTTGAGGATAGACATGGCATTTTTCAAGGCCAGCCTGGGTACATAGCAAAACCTATCTAAAAAAGAAAATCAGGGCTGGAGGGATAACTCAGCAGTCAAGAGCACTGGCTGTTCTTCTCGAGAACGCAGGTTTGATTCCCAGCATGCGTGCAGTGGCTCACAGCTAGCTATTACCCCAGTCCCAGGAGATCCAGTGCTCTCTTCTGGCCTCTGAAGGTTCTGCATGCACATGTTGCACAGGCAAACATGCATGCAAAACATAGTAAAAATGATGATGAAAACATACTTAAAAACTGAAATCAGTCTTCACTTCAATAGAGACATGCTGGGCGGTGACATCATCTATAACCACAAAAAGCTTGCTGCCTCATATTATTTGGGTTTTGTAAGGGCATTGTCCCCTTAATTTTAGATATGATCTCTCTTCTCCAGAGAATACTAAATAAAGACTAAAAGAAAATGTGAATGAACACTAATGAAATATTGATGTTTGTGAGCATTTCCCCCCACAAAGCTTTAATTATTGATTTTTTCTTTTTTTTTTAAACCTACATAGTTTGACATAATTAGATAGTGATTTACTAGCTACCTAATGTTGAAGTTTAGAAACCATTTTTAAGCTTGGATCATTCAATAGATACGGAAATTGGTTAGCAATGAGACAGTTCAGCTAAAATTGTTATGCCATTCTGACTTGTTCTTCAAGGGCATAAATTAACGTTTTTTACCAGATTGTTTTATCAGTTGTCTGAACCCCAGTTAAGTCACCTGAGGAGCTTTTAAAAATGCTAATATTTTGGCACACTCCCTCATCCCCCTTCCTCCCACTCAGTGGCAGAGTGCTTGTCCACACCCTAGGTTTTCACTCTCTGAACATAAAGCAAAACAAAAACAAAGAAAAGAAGTCACTTATCACATTTGGCTTTGAAGACAGGAGAAACGGTCTGCAGTCTAGAATCTTGAGTCAGTTCTGGTCTTAGCTCTTAGAGCTCACTTTATGCCTGGAGAGCCAGAGCCTGGTGAAGAGAACTTTGGAGCGGTATTCTGGTTATATCAACATAGCTGTAGCCATCCTGTGTCCAGATGGTCAGATACAATGGGTAACTATATGTAGTGAATACCCAACACACCCCCACTCTTCTTACCCCTTCCCACCTTCCCCAGTACTTCAGTCCTCGCTTGAAAGGAATTGCAACTTGGGTAACTAAAGGCATGAACTTGTAACAGTATACATTTTGACCTATGGGTTTCTCTCTCCCTCTCTTTTTTAACAGATGCTAGGACTGGCCCAAGGATGTTTTGACTACACCATTCCATACATTAAAGAAAGGATACAGTTTGGCAAGCGAATATTCGATTTTCAGGTGTATAGAATTAAACTCTTTCTGTTGTCTTGGACTTTCCCTCTTCCTTTTGAAAGCCATGGAGGGAGTCCCCCAAGGATGCTTAATTGGGAGGAGGGATAGGTCTCATAGCTTGGGCTTGTGGCCTCCTTAGTCTTTTCCAAGAGCAGAACCATGGTCCTGGAGGCAGCTGTTGTATGTTTGGGATGCTGGGGTGGGCACTGGAGAGCTGTCCCCTTGCCACCTCAGAGGTCCACCGTCCCCTGAGTTCACAGCCTGGGTCTCCCATGTGCAGGCTCATATGACTTTATTGAAATGCGGGCCCTAGAAATGTTTCAGGCTTCAGAAATCTTTGGGACATTTTTGTGGACATGGTAAAATATCCTGGGGATACAAGGCAAATCTAAACAAAATTCATTTATATTCCATAAATGTTCCATATGTAGCTTCGAGGTCATTTTATGCAGTGCTTTTAATAATTTTATATATGAAACGAAATACCGTGGGTTGAGCTTTCTACTTGTGGCACATTCTGATATTAAAAGGTTTTGAGATTTTGGAGCACTTTGGATTTCAGGTTTCAGATTAGGACTGCTGACGCCATGCTGGCCACAGCTCCTACTATCATCCCCCATCCTTCACAAGGGAAACCGGGACACAGGAAGATGGGTTCCCAAAGCTGTGTAGCTGATGTGATGTTTTGTCATGGCTTCTAGTCTAATTTCCTTTTCAGTATTCTAGCACACCGTCTCAAGATAGCGATAGATGATAGATTCCAGATGGCAGCAAGAAGGGCCGACAGTGAGGCCGGCTAAAGATGGCTTTTGATTTCCCCTGTTAGCCAGGAATCAGTGTTTCTTTATGTGACAGAGGGCAGGTAAACTACTCAATATAACAGTAGTGGCATTCTTAGAAACCATTGGGGTGTATTATTTTTTTAAGGCAGAGATTTAATTTAAAAATTTTGATCACTGGGGCAGTGGTTAAAACATGCCTCTAATCCCAGCACTTGGAAAGCAGAGGCAAACAGATTTCTGTGAGTTCGGGGCCAGCCTGGTCTGCAGAGCTAGTTCCAGGACAACCAGGGCCACACAGAAAACTCTGTCTCTAAAAACTAAAAGAAGAAAAGAAAAGAAATTTGATTGTGCCAGGCATGGTGGTACATGCCTTTAATCCCAGCACTCAAGGGCAGATTCAGGTGGATTTCTATGAGTTTGAGGCCAGCCTGGTCTACATAGTGAAGTCCAGGACAGCCAGGTTTGTGTAGAGAGACCCTGTCTCAAAAAAGGGGAGGAGGATTTGATCATTAACTCTATAAAGCTTTGGTGATATTCAATAGGGTAATATCTGACTATCCTCTCACCAAAATGACTTGTTTTTCACCTGGGTGTGTCCCTAGCATCCTTGTCATCTCTAGGCTTCAGAACTTTTGGGATAGGCCTAGGTAGATCATCCTTACATTTGTCAGTTGATTATTCAGCACAGATTTGAGCATGTCTTCCATGCAATGCCTTGTGTCATATAGTGCACTCAGGGGATCTACATCTAGCTATCATGAGGGTTTTGGAGAGGGGGCGGGGTCAAGACAGGAGGCATAACTCTGTTACCTTTCTGCCTCCCATGCTACCTTATGTGGTCATTGAATAAACAGCACCATGGTGACTAGTTTAATTGACCCAAAGGAACTTTGCAAAAATGGTTGTAATCTCTGAGTTCTACATAAAAAGCCACCAGAACTATAGAACAGTGATATCAACATAAAACAGGAAAATTCACTAATAGGCAAAGACAGAAAGACCAGCAACAAACATGCATATGTCAGGCTGATACATGGTAGATGTAGCCTCATGGACCACAAAGTGATGTGGAGAAAATGAAATTATCTTTGCTTCAGATACATCAGAGAAATCATGTGAAAAACAAGTTTAAATTTATAGAAGGACGTAGGGGACTGTTTATGACATTAAGGTAAGAAGAGATTTCATAAGTGAGACATAAAAAAGACTAGTCATAAAGGAAAAGACTTAGTAAATTTTCCAAGCACAGTGGCACATGCCTAAAATACTAGTACAGAGAAGGCTAAGGCAGGAAGATTGCCATGAGTTCACGACCAGCCTCAAGTATATAGCAAGTAGGAAGCCAGGCCAGCTGTCAGGACTATATACCAAAAATATTAACTCCAAAAAAAATTTGATTACCAAAGTAATTTTCCTCAAAAAAAAAAAAGATGTCATAGTGAGCTGGAGGTGTGCCTTGATGGTAGAGTGCCTTCCTAGCATGTAGCATAAGACCTGAAGTTCAATGCCTATAACCCAGAAAGAAATGGCACAAGTGAAAAGACATGTCATAGCCTGTGTCTCCCAAGTGCATACAACCACCTGTCTATTCTTGAACATTGGAATAGACCCACATCAATAAGATTAGTTGAAGGAAAAAGATTGGTGCTTCAAATATTCTTTCATTGCTTTATAGCTAACAACTAAATTAGCCATGTTCAGAAATCAAAATTTTTCTTAATGCAATCAAGCAAAGAATATTTGAGAGTTTTTGCTCTGTTGGGACTTAGTATAAGCTCAATTTGTACCATAAACAGTTAAAAGTAATTATTAAATATGAGTCAAGGTTTTAAAACCTAACAATATGATGGCATTATTTTAAATCTTAGCAAATTGTGAGGGATTACATGAGCTTTGAAATTTTTCAAAAAAAGATTCAACAGTAATACAGTGTATTATTTATCTTTAGATTGCAGGTTTAAGGCATTTAAAAGGAATGGATTTGGATTTCTTTGGGGTGTGTTTTGAGTCTGTGAGCATCATGTATCCTACTTGCAGTTAGAAGCAAAATGACTTTTGCAAACTGTCATTTTCTAACATGTGTCTGAATGTTACAGGGGCTCCAACACCAAGTGGCTCAGGTGGCCACCCAACTGGAAGCCGCGCGGTTACTAACATACAACGCTGCTAGGCTCGTAGAAGCCGGAAGGCCATTTATTAAAGAAGCATCTATGGCCAAATATTATGCATCAGAGGTAAAAATGGAAGGAGATATTCAGTCTCCTTTTTTTCATACATGAGTTTATCAGTCTTTCACTTGGGAATATTGATTGAGCTTAGGTTATCCTCCAAGAAAGAAAGCGTTCACTCTCCACTTCCTGCAGTCTTAGAAGTGAGAAAGGATAAAGCTGCTGGCTGGGTGTTTTCAGGTTGAAACACACCACCCCAAACACAGAGGCCTCCTCTGAGTGATGACCTCAGGCCCATGCTCTCAAGTTGGAGTAAAGTGAGTGCCATGGAGATTTAAAGCATCAAGAAAAGATGATCGACATATGTAATACCTTCTACTCAGACATACCCATTCTCTGTGTGCACATGAAACTATGGCAGGAGAGTTGATCCACATTATGGACTAGGGCTCTTCCAGTCTTGACACTGAGTCAAGATTTAGGAGTATCCAACCTTTGGACATTCTCATCTCTAGAAGTATTGGGTTGCTTTCATAGCTTTCCTGTGTTACATACAGCCCATGGGCTACAGGTTAGATATACAGACAAATGCTCATTTAACCCTGACAACTCCTAAAATGAGAGACTGCCATGAACTAGAGTCAGGATGGGAGAGGAGAAGAAACTGGAAGGGTAGGCTGGCCTTGGAGGGGGATGAACAGTTGGACTACTTTAATGTCATCTCAAGGATGTCCAGAGAGAGCTTAACTGACAGACAGACAGACTCTCTCTCTCTCCCCTCTCAATGTCTCTCCCCCTCCCTTTCTCCTCCCCTTCTTCCTTCCCCCACCCCTCTTTCTGGATCTCTCTGTCTCTGTCTGTCTCTCTCTGTCTCTGTCTGTCTGTCTGTCTGTCTGTCTCTCTCTCCCTCTCTCTCTCTCCCTTCCCTCCTGCCACCTATCCAGACCAGGTCATTCCTTAACCTAACTCCTGGGTCACCCAACTGCTCGTCCCAGTCTTACTGTGGTTTTGGTGTCCATGATGTCACTTTTAACTTTTCAGTGACTTCTCACAATAAATGGAACAATATTCATACTAATTTCTCACAATGCTGTAGCAAGAAAAATTCCCAAAATGCAGTGTCTTGAAATAGACAGTTTTATCTACTGCCATTTTGGGAAGTCAGAAGTGTCAAATGGGCCTTTGAGATATCAAATGAAGCTGTTAGCAGAAAGACCTTCTGGAGGCTCCAGAGGAAAACGTTCTAGCTCCCAAGGGCTGCTCACATCCTTGATTCACAGCCCTTTTGTCCGCCTTCATGGCCAACAAGGTAGCTCTCTCTTTCTCTCTAACTCACTCTCATTGCTGTGGTCAGATTGCCTTCAGTGGTGGGCTCTCCAGCATCTTTCCTCCTTTATAAGCCCTGTTGGGATTACATGTTCTGTCTCAATAATCCAGGATAATTTTCTTATCTTGAGTCCTTAACTTAGTCCCAACTGCAAATTCCCTCTGTTGTCATGTAAGATAGCACATTTGGTTTCTAGGGTTTAGACTCTCTGGACATCTTGAGGAGCCATTACAGTAATCAAACTGCTTGCCCTCCTCCCAGGCCTGCCTGCCCTTCTAGTCTTTTCTCCCCTCTCCCCCTGACCCCAGTCTCACTGGTCCCTGAGACCAGTGGGCCTCTGCTCTCCCTGGAGCCCTTGTACATGTTGTTCCTTAACTTGTAATGCCCCTAAGTGGTGTTGTAGGTCTCAGTCAAGCTGTTTCCTCAGATCACCATCTAAATCACAACAGTTCTCCTCTCTACAGCTTGTAAATCTCTATGCCAGTTGGTTTAATGTCTATTTAAATGAGCACAAGGACCAAAGTGTCTGTCTTTTCCTTCCTCGATACATATTTGCAAGCAAATGATGCCCTGTTGGTAAGCATGTGCATATGAACAAGTCTGATTTCCTTTTCAAGAAAAGTGTTTTGTGCATTAGTAGCATATTTTAGAAAAATGGTGTGGAGACTTACAAAATAACTGTAGCCCTTGCAGTTGCTCACAGTGAATCTGAGCTCCTGAAACTGTCACTCATGGGCTCATCATGCACAAGCTTGCAGACTGCCAGTCTGTAATTCGCTACTTACCTTTGGTAGGTTGCTCAATTGACAACGAGTAAGTGCATTGAGTGGATGGGAGGAGCTGGCTACATCAAAGATTACCCTGTGGAGAAATTCTTCCGAGATGCAAAGATTGGTAAGTAGACTTTTGATGACTTATTTTCTTTTGTTTTATTTGCCACTTCAGGTGTTTGGGCTATAGTATTTGTCAAATTTGTATTACTAGTACTTAAGTAAACGCATTTTTAATCTCCCAGTATGTTTATTGACTTTCTCTGTGGCTAGATTTCCTCCTTCTTGGTCATATCAGAAAAAAAGGAAATTGTATTTCTAAAAGCACCAAATTGACTTTTAAAATGTCCTAGTAGACCTTTTAAGAAATCTTCGACAAAATCCACTGTCTGCATTTTTCTGCTACAAAAATTGTTAGTGTTTGCCATTCCTGTAATCTAATAGTGCTCTCTTTGAAGTATGCTTCTAATTTCGGAAGGTAGCTGCCTCATCATGCCTGAGTGCTCCAGTGCTCCAGTACTCCACCAGCAGTGAGGAGTGTAACTAGGAGTTCTGAAGGCTGCCAGGTCCTTAGACGCAGCTGGGCTTATACACTGATGTACCAAGAGCTAAATCCTCGGTCGGTCAAAGCTGATTCTAGTTCTCTATAGATCGAATGGAAAATTGTTATGTTAGTCAGAATGACTTTAGACGCTGAGTCCTGTTACTTAGATCAAATGCAGGGCTGGTGTCCTTAGCACTCATCTCTTGCACTGCACTTTTTAGCTGTGGGTGAACTCATAATTGTCCTTTTTTCTCCCTTTTGTTTAAGGTACAATATACGAAGGAACATCCAACATCCAGCTGAACACCATTGCAAAGCACATCGACGCAGAATTCTGATACCTCTAGTGTCACTGGCGTGCCACTTCCAACTGTTGTGCCTTGTTAAGTGGAGCCTGCAGAGCATTGCAGTGTTCTGTTTGAAGCCGCTTGTCCTGGTTCTCAGGCCTGGTTTTTGTCCTTTCTCTACCCAATCTACTCTAAAACTATTTTGAAGCTTCTCTACACATTTATTTTTCTCATCCTAGTTTCTGAGTATACAGAAGTTTCACTATGCCAGCATCTGGGAAGATGAAAACATTTGAAGTATTGGTACTGCTGACAGAAATAGTCACTTTATATTCCTACTAAATCTTTGTACTGTGGTATAATTTAGAGGATCATTTGTTATAGTCGGCAACTTTTATTCAATACTTTATAGATTCAATGGTAAGTTGCTAAACAAGGTAGAAACTGATAAAATTTATTTGGAAAATTGAGAACTCCTAGTTTTAATGTCAAAGAAAAAGTAGACAATAAAGATGTAACTTGTAGGCCATATAATTGACAAAAACAAACGCCCAAAATATTATTTTCACCACCAAAAGCTGTATGTTTGGCTGCTATAATTGACCTGTATGAAAGATGTGTTACATGACGGCTCTATCAAGACATTTAAAAGCATGTCCCTGTATTAATTTTCAACTATAAAGTTTAAATAATTTGGCTTAATTATCTGAAAATATTCAGTTATAATATTCATTAGATCATGCACTATTTTTAGTAGTATGATTTATTATTGCACTTTAATTATTTTTCTCCTCAAATTTGGTTATTGAACTTTATCCTAAATAGTAATTAATCGAGAAATTTGATTTTGGTTTTAGTAATTCTCAGGAGAAATATTTTACCCCTATAAGGAAATAATATCACAATCTCACAAGGAATGGAGAACAGGAGACTAGATAGTCTGAAAAGGTACATCCGGTATAAATATATGTAGTTATTTATATAGTGTATTAAATAATTTTTATTGTGAAGACAAAGATCTATGTTTTACAATGCAAATGACAAACAGGCAAACCTAATCAAATGCCCAGCTGGCGAAGCTATTGATCAGTGTTAGGATTTTTTAGTCAATTGCAGACCCTGAGTCCTCTGGAGAGAGAAGTGGACAGTGGACAAGAGAGTTTCACATTTCCTGAGGAAACACCACATTATGCATGAAAAATGCCCCAAGGCTCATACGGTTGCTGACAATCAATCATTGCTGCTAAATAGAAAGTATTTCAGTGCTTTTGTACAAGGATAATGTTTATTAAGAAAACCTGACATTTCCTAAGTAATTTTGCTTTGCACAGTCATGTTTATTGAGCTGAATTAATTTCCACAATGCAAATCATAGTTAAATATTCGAGGTTGTGTAAATACAGTTGAGATAGGAATTACATTAAAACAGTAGGAAGAAACAGGACAATTTTAGACCTTGAATCCAAAGTGATAAAGTCTACTTGACTTTCAAATGGGAAAATGATGAAAGCCCCTCAACCAGTCCTTCAGAACATAAAGGCTGATGGGTCTGATAAGAAAAGCAAGGAATGGATCCAATGCCCTAACGGGGCTCAGACAACTTTAATTTCTAGGTTTACGTGAAAGCGGTGAACTTACAGATAATGCAGTGGGAGTCAATATGAGTAAACAGAGGATTACCTTCTCTAGAATGAGAGACACGTGGAAGTGTGATAAATACCATGTTCTAACTCACAGCACCAGAGTCACTCACTCTATTACATATCTGGACTTTAAATGTGTCCATAGAGTTATAATTTTGTATATGTATTTTGTGTATTTCACAAAGGATAGTTAATATGAATTAATTATTAACATAATTAACATACAAGCTTTTCTTCTTTTGTTAGTGAACCCTTGTATTGTTTCACCAAAGAGAGTGTTTGGGAGTCTACTTGTATTTCTTACTTTATGGTTTTTCTTCTGATTTCTGTGACTTTGTAATCTGTCATGAAACTATGGACTTTGAGTTTGTATCTGGTAGGAACCTAAAGCTGTTTGTTAATTTGAGGACTGAGATGACATGGGGCACAGGAGATAAAGAACTGACCTGGTGTGTATACAGGCGGAACTAGTTGCCGAGTTTGCATTGTTAGAGAGCTCACTTTATCACATCAGAATCAATTAAAGAATCAATGCCAAGGACTTGATCATGGAACTTTAAGCCTAAAAAGACCGTAGACAACCATAAAGGTAGCTCTGTCAATTCAAAAGTGAAGGACTCTTTTTTTGTTGGTGTTTTTGTGACAGGGTTTCTCTGTGGCTTTTGAGCCTGTCCTGGAACTAGCTCTTGTAGACCAGACTGGTCTGGAACTCACAGAGATCCACCTACCTCTGCCTCCCGAGTGCTGGGATTAAAGGTGTGTGCCTGGCAAAAATGAAGGTTGCTTTCTCAGATCATCTATCCAAGGACAAAGACAAGAATTCAGTGTTCCTCCCATTACCAAACACAGTCATTGTTCAGCAGATCATGGGTTTTGTCCTTGTTGTAGATTTATTTCAAGTTAACTGATAAAGAATGAGCATTTCAGTAGTATTGTGATTGATCAGTCACTTGCCAAAAGCTGTTGGCCTGAGCGATGATGTCAGATGTGAGATGGCTAGGCATCACTGTGATACTGTTTTTTTTTTAAAGAAATACCCTGTAGGGTATTTATGCTGATCTACCATAAAGTGAAAGCCCCATTCTAATGGTATGTATCAGATTATGTTCCTTTGGAGATTCTTGCTGCTAGAATAAAGTGCAGTTGTCACACACACAGATGAAAATGCGTGTAGTCTTCCAGAAAGGTAGGCACAATGCTGGTGTCCACCATGCCAATAGCTCTCTTCTCAGGCAAGCCAGTTTTGTTCATTTTCAGAGAAGAGGTTTTGTAATGTAGAACAAATTTAAATTCACAAGGCTAAAAATAAGTTTCCTCCAGAGAACTCTTTTTGTTTCCATGGCTGTGTAAGCAGCTCTCGAGTAGAGAGGCCACTGCTTTTGGGCACACCCTCCCAACACAGATACCAGTGGATATGTGTTAAAGAAGTACATCTGTAAATTTATATTATTGTACTTTTTACTCAGGGATACACCACACTACAGAACCATAGGAGATTTCAGCTTGTGTGTTCCTTATTCCTACATCAGTTTAAAAATCTAGACATTGGTAACATTTTTTTTCCACTCAGAAATGTGTTTTTGTGGTTACTACATCCAAGGATGGGGCACCCTTACAAGCAACCATTACAAAGACAAATAGTCCCAAGGTGTGCCCATCTCAGTGCCCCTTTTCTGTTTTCATTAATGTGCATTCACAAAAGTATTGAGCAGAAAAGTGCCAGTTTCAGCCCTATGACGAAGGACTTCTTTGAAATGATAGCAAGCGTGCATCCCAACCATCATTCTGTCACACCATGTGGCCCTGGCTGTCCTTAACTCACTGTGTAGTCCAGGCTGGCCTCAAGAACTCCTAGAGATTCCACTATTCCTCCGTCTCCCAAGTGTTGGGATTAAAAGAGTGCGTCACCATGCCCAGCCCCCTTCTACAGTCTTGACACCTGCAGACAGCAATCCACGCAGTGGCCGCTCTTCTCTCTTAAACTGATAGGGAGGCTGTAACATAGAGAGTTTAAGTAGGGTGTGCATTGGTCCATGACCATAGCACGATGGGGGAGCCTGGCTGCTGAAGGCTCTCCCACTTGCATTCCTTGTGTCACTAAGGCTGTTGGTTTTTAGGGGCTTCCCAGTAAAATGCCACTACTAACTGGCCCTTTCTTGCCTAATTATTCTTCAGAGAAGAGGTTCAAATCTTCTCAAGCTAAGAACAAAGCCTGCAAAGTTAGGTTAAGTAAGTGTGGTTGAGAGTGTGGGTGTGGGAGACAATGGGAAAGACCTGGGGCATGTGGCTGAGTGGTAGCACTTGCTTAGCATGTGTGAGACACTGGGTAAACAGGGTGACAGGAAGAGACATTGGATAAACAGGGTGACAGGAAGACTGGCAGTTAGAAAAGCAAAGGTTCAGAAAAGGACACGAGGAAATGCCAGGGTCACCTCTTGGGTTTGGCACAAATAGACTATGTGCCATATTTGAAGATCTTTTTAAGGAGGCAGTCACCAAGAGCTAGCCTAGGCCGTGCTAAGAGGACATGGTGGAAAGTCACGTGCTAATTACAGGGTGTGTACAGATAGCTCACAATAAAAATCCTACTATTACAACTTCCTACTATTACAAATCAGTTGGGCAGTGGCAGTGCACCCCTTTAATCCCAGCACTCAGGGAGGCAGAGGCAGGTGGATGTTTGTGAGTTTGAGGCTAGCCTTGTCTACAGAGTGAGTCCCAGGACAGGCTCCATAGCTACACAAAGAAACCCTGTCTTGGGAAAAATTTTAAAAAGGTGTTCAGATGAGGAGGCCAAAGAGATAGGTTAGCAGCTAAGAGCATTTGTCACTCTTGCAGAGGACCTAGGTTTGGTTCCCAACATTCACGTGGCAGCTGACAATGATTTGTAACACCAGCTTCAGGGGATCCAACACTCTCGCATTTAGGCATCAGTCACTTAAATATCTGCAATCAAAACTCTTACATATAATAATAATAAATATTTTTTTTCTCCCCAGTTCTGTGATTAAAGGTGTGTGACACCATGCCCAACAGCAAACATGTTTTGAATTTCTGTTGTGTAACAGGAATTGTGTCAGGTTTTAGGAAGTCAAACAGCAACAGCAACAGGGAAGGGAATCAACTTTAACAGACGAGCAGAAACATAGTGACTTGAACAAAACAAATTCAACTGATGTGTTGATGCACGCCTGCAATTCCAGCACTTGGGGTTCAGAGGCAGGAGGATCAGAAGTTTACTATAATTCTTGGCTACACTGAGGATGAGACTGGCCTAGGCTATTTGAGACCTTATGTCAAAACAAACAATCAAAAACTTATAATAATAACAGTAATAATAATAATAGTAGTAGTAATAATAATGGTGCTGATGGTGGTGATGGCTGAGGAAAGATAGCTTAGCAGATGAAGGTTCTTGCTGCCAAGCCAGATGACCTGAGTTTGGTCCCCGGGACCCATATAGTGGAAGGAGAGGGCCAGCTCCTCAAAATTGTCCTCTCCACACCTGGTCCATGACACATGCACGCACACGTGCACTTGTGAGCACACACACACACACACACACACACACAAAGAAACAACTGTAAAAAAGAAAGAAAATTGTTTATTTTTAGGTCCATGCAAAAGAGTAGATGGAGAAAGAAGAAATGAAATAGTGGACTATCAAGGAGACTATTAGTTGAGAGTGAGTTTAGGGGTGGGAAGATTGGACAGTAAGAGGCTTGGCTACAATTTCAGGAGACTTAACTTGTCATCTGCAATCTGAGACATAGTTATTGAGAGGTCATTTAAGGACTCCCAGGGAAAGGTGGAGGTTGGCTTTAGATTTTTTTTTGTTGATACAGTGAGAACGAGGAAGAGCTCTGCTTCACAGTTGTGTGAATGGATCAAAATGTCATGGAATGCTACGAAACAGGAATCAGTTGTGAAATACTTAAGTGAAGAGTAACACTTCAGTTTTAGGATGATTTATTTGTTTTTTTTTTTTTTTTTTAAATGTGAATTTTTTTTATTAATATTTTTTTATTTTCCATTTTAAATTTAGATAAGAAACAAGGTTGCTTCACAAGTCAGTACAAGGTCCCTCTCCCTTTCCCTCCCCTCCTCCCGTGCCCTCCCCCCATCCCCCCCCCCCCCCCGTTATCCCCTCATTCCCCCAGGGAGGGTGAGGCCCTCCATGGGGGTGTCCATAGTCTGTCATTTCATATAGGGCAGGGCCTAGACCCTTCCCCAAGAGTTCAGGGTGAGAGTGCACCTCACATTGTTCTATGGGAGTCCAGAGACCGTGTGTATACTTGGGATGGGTACTGATCTGCTGTCCAAGGCTCAATAGATTACCTAGGCCTCCTCACTGACACCCAGATTCAGGGGGTCTTGATCAGTCCCATGCTGGATTCCCAGGCTGATGCCTGGGATTCAAGAGTTAACCTTTGTCTGGTCAGCTGTTTCTGGGGGTTCAACCAGCCCAGTCTTAATCCCTTTGATCATCAGTCCTCCCTCTCTGATACTGGCTTTCTTGAGTTCAGCTCAGTACTTAACCAGCCAGTAAATGAAGTTTCTGTTTCCCAGACTCTCTGGCAATAGGATTGTAGGCTGGCACTCCCCAGATCTATGTCTAAAATCCATATATGAGAGAGTACATGCCATGTTTCTCTTTTTGTGACTGGGTTACCTCACTCAGGATGGTTTCTTCTAGTGTCATCCATTTGCCTGCGAATCTCATGATTCCATTATTTTTTCTGCTGAATAGTACTCCATTGTGTAGATGTACCACATTTTCTCTATCCATTCTTCGGGTGAGGGACATCTAGGTTGCTTCCAAGTTCTGGCTATTACAAATAAAGCTGCTATGAACATAGTGGAACAGACATCTTTGTTATATGAATGGGCATCTTTTGGATATATGCCTAAGAGTGCAGTTGCTGGGTCTTGTGGTAGGTTTATTCCCATTTTTCTGAGGAATCTCCATACTGCTTTCCAAAGTGGCTGAACCAGTTGGCACTCCCACCAGCAATGGAGGAGTGTCCCCCTTTCACCACATCCTCTCCAGCATAAATTGTCATTGGTGTTTTTGATTTTAGCCATTCTGACAGGAGTGAGATGGTATCTCAGAGTTGCTTTGATTTGCATTTCCCGGATGGCTAAGGATGTTGAGCACTTTCTCAAGTGCCTCTCAGCCATTTTAGACTCCTCTATTGAAAACTCTCTATTTAGTTCTGCAGCCCACTTCTTAATTGGGTCCTTTGCTGTTTTGGAGACTTGCTTCTTGAGTTCTTTGTAAATTTTGGAGATCAACCCTCTGTCAGATGTGGGATTAGTGAATATTTTTCCCATTCTGTGGGCTGCCTTTTTGTCTTGCTGACTGTGTCCTTTGCCTTACAGAAGCTTCTCAGTTTCAGTAGGTCCCATTTATTAATTGTTGAGCTCACTGTCTGTGCTACTGGTGTTATGTTCAGGAAGCTGTCTCCTGTACCAATTCTTTCAAGGGTACCACCCACTTTCTCTTCTAAGAGGTTCAGTGTGGCTGGATTTATGTTGAGGTCTTTGATCCATTTGGACTTAAGTTTTGTGCATGGCGATAAACATGGATCGATCCGCATTTTTCTACA